GCCATTGAATTTTTCATCAACTGAACTTTTTAAGGCAACCCCATGTACACCACAATAAGGCAGTCAATGCACATGAAGACAGCCACTACAGTCAGGTCTTCCTACTCCAAATAAATCACAACTGGCATACTGGCCACAGCCGGGCAAAGGTTTTCTGTCTGCACCGGCACGTGCTGATGCAGAAGGAGCCATAAATCTAGGAGGACACCCAAATGGTAAAATCACATCTGTCTTCTGGAGTCATGTCCCTCCTATATCCAATCTATGACCTTTCCAAGTACTTCTTCTGAACATCCTATCCATCCGTCCATACCAAACACCCCTCATCGTATTCCTGTGTGTGAGATGTAGCGTCAAAGGGCAGACTTGAGACATGATCTGATCCTCTAAACCAGGAATTCCTAAACTTTTTGTCATGATTATTCTCTTTAGCACCCCTTTAAGTTTAGCATTCCCTTTAGTGCCTCTTTAAGAAAGGTAAACCTTGCAGTTTGAGAAATGCTGCTGTAAACACAGAACTTTCTATTCATCCATGATGTGACTTTGATCCAAAATAGCCTACGGTTTCTGAGTTTTAAGAGACCATAGGATTGCCCCTACTTGTGATGTTTTGTCACTTCCTCCATTGAGGAAGTGACATTTGACACACTGAGTTGTCTCAAAAGCATATATTTGGCAAAGTTTTCAGTCCACCCCACGAAACCTCTCTCCTTTAATTAGCACTAACAAGGTCTTAATTCCTCACTTACAGAACATGCAGCACCATTCATTCTAATAAATAACCCATCTATTTTGTGTTAATGCAACAAGAACAAGCGCTTTGTTTTTGAAGTTTGGGGACTGACATGGGTGGAAAGCAGGGGTGGTATTCAGCCGGTTCTGACTGGTTCTGGAGAACCGGTAGTGCAAATTTTGAGTAGTTTGGAGAACTGGCAAATACCACCTCTGACTGGTCCTGCCCCCATCTATTCTCTGCCTCCTGGGTCCCAGCTGATCAGAGTCCAACTGATTGGCAGGGTCTTCTTTTGTTGACCTGCACAGGAAAACGGATCTGGAAAGCAGGTTAGTGGGGTAGGGAGGGAATGGGATTTTGTAGTAACCTTCCCCTGGAGTGGAGTGAAAATGGAGATTTTACAGTATCCCTCCCCTGCCACACCTACCAAGCCATGCCCACAGAACCAGTAGTAAAAAAAAAAAATGAACACCACCACTGGCGCAAAGGCCCAAAGTCTTCACACATCATGTCAAGTGGCCTCTGAGATCTTATTCTTGCCTACCTCTGCCTTATCTAGATATGGTTCTCAACATAAATCATATGAGTCATGCCACAAAACTTAACTGCCAAGTATATTTACCATTATCCTCACATCTCATTCTCTGTGCTTTTTTCAAGAGTATAAATTCTTCATATGAAACATTGCAGATACCAAAGATATATTTCTACCTAAAAACTAGCCAAAGGAAGAGAAGAGCAAGAATAGAGCTACGGAGAGACAGGAGTATATGGTGTGAAAAGAGAAAAGGTAGGGGTAAGAAAATAATGATCAGACAATATTTTTTGTTGCAGTTCTTTATTTCCTCTGATTACCAAATCGAGTACTTAGTTCCCTTCTCCAAAATACTTAAGAGTTAAGCCTATTTATATAGATATAAATAATAAAATAGAGCTATTAGTAGCCAGGTCTTGTTGAAACCTACCTACCATTTCCATTGCTAAATAAATATTTCCACCATGAGTTCGGCTCTCACTTTAGAAAGACAGCTATTTAAAAAAAAAAATAGTCCAGTTGTTTCAAAACTAAAGATTACTATTTCATACTTATCCTTTGATAGAAACATGTTGATAAAAATGGATTTGCCTAAGTTTGTTGTTGGAATTATACAAACAGAAGGGGAGGGAGGGAGGGAGATCTGTCTTAGGAGAGCTATTTTCATTAATAGTTAAGATAAGGGTATGTAAAAAAGGGTGATTTTCTTCAGAATAAATAAGGTTAGGCAATAGATACGAATGTTTCTCCTATGAAAGTTATAATAAACACTTATGATATGTAACTTTATTAGTACAAGACAACTTATAAAGATATTTTTGTTTTATAAGTAACATTTTCCAATTATATTCCTTGACTTCATTTCCATAATCCCCAACCATCTTGGTTTAATCTCCCACATACTTCCAATGTCAAAAACCATTCTTGTACAGATAATAGCATCATCTCATTTGGGCAGAGGACTATTGATAAGGTCTACAAGCAGATGGGTTTAATTAAGCCTCTTATGACATGAAAATTCTAATATCACTAAATTTGGAATTAATCACATTTCACAGTTCTTAATTTGCCCAAGTCCTGAACACCTGGGATTTATGCCTGAGCCTAGAATAATATCTGTTTTATATGGAAAACTACTTTATAATAATATCTGTTTTATATGGAAAACTTGTAAATTACAGTGTTTATGTATTCATACCTGGACATGACCTTGATTCTTTTTGGTTTGGTGACAACTGAATGTCAGAAAGTGACTTCTTCAAAAATGTACAAGCAAACCCAAGTATCACAGTATTGTGCTGCCAAGGAGATTGTACTAATAGTGCAAAGTCTTGTTTTTTGCTCAGATGCTCCCACCAGAGAAGATTATTGGAGTACAAGTTGAACTTTCAGAGCAATGTGACCTGGGAAGCTTGGATGAATCTATCCCAAAAAAAAAAAAACCTGGAGTATTTGCAATGGCTCAGATTGTCTACTCAAATCTAACCCCAAACACCTACCTAACTAACTTCTCTCCACTGCCAAACACAATTGCTATTTTCAAAAAGCAGCAATGGAGATATTTGGAAGAGAACAAAAACGTCAAAGCAGGAAACTGAAACAAACTTTTTGTCCCTTTTTACATTTTTTCTGACGTGCATTCTGTTTTAAATATTTAAACACTGCACGATGCCTAGAGTCCAGCTGACTTCAGCTGCTCAGTTCAATTGCACGAATAAATAAGCAAGCTCTGCACATATCAAACCGACCAGTTGTTTCTGGGGAACAAAAACAATTTGCTTCCTATAAAATTCTTCCAGAAGAAAAGTCCAACTGGGACCAGCAGCGAGATGAGGTGTCTGGGAGCTGAGAAACAGCCGCACCTGCCAAACTGAAGTCCTGGAGTGCCTCGGAGCTCCAGAAGGTGTCTACTGAGCCCAGGGCTGTCAAACAAAGATCTATGCGGACTTCTTACCAGGCTCATCCTTATTTCCACCTCAGCATGCCTCCTTCAAAAGGAAAGGGGGGAATTGCTGGCACTTGGAACCGACTCTTTTGATTGACTGCAAACCATCCAGTAAATTATGAGGAAATCCAGCCCTACATTCCAGCCTCCATCCCCCTTGTTCCCCAAGAAGGTAGAGGTCATCTTTTGCTCATTCTTCCATAGGAGATATGTCAATCACCAGTAATGCTTTCACTACTCTCACATTTGTTTTGGAAGGAAGGGGGGGGGAGTGAATGAAGCCCCTCTCACCATAAACCTAAACATAGCCCTGATTGGAATGCCTTTAAATAGACATTTTAAGAGGTGGCGGCCTCTCAAAGAGTTCCAACCAGGGCACAATAAATCAAGGTTGCCCAAGTCCTCCAGTCCAGACCACCTACCCGAAAGAGAGGAGCAAGGAAATCCCCACCCCCCAACCAGATTCTTGGACAGGTGACTCACTAACTGCGCAGGTGGGCTGAGGAAGAGAAGCCTAGCCTGGGAAAACTTCACTCATTCGAGGCGGGGGGGGGGGGGGGGGGGGGGGGGGGGCGTGGGGGGGGGGGGGAGGGGGGGGGGGTGGGGGGAGAGAAAAAGGGGGGAAAATGGGGGGGGGGGGGGGAGAGGAGGAGGCGCTGGCCGCGCCATGAAAACAAAGGCCGATTATATGCCAAAGAGAGCAACCCAAAGCAACCCTGAGAGCCATTTAGGCAGAAGAGGAAGGCCACGGGGGTTGAGTTACAAAGCAGGGTTAACACCACCTATGCCCCAGGGAGAGAGAACGGAAGGCATCGGAAGAGAGAGAGGGCATCAGAAGACACGGACAACGACGCCCTCTGTGTGGAAAAGGGGACAAATCCTCGCTCGGGCTTCCGCAGCCCGTGCATCCCCCCCCCCCCCCCCCCAGAAACGCGCTCGCACGAAGTCCCGGTCTTAGAAGGCATCCATTCAATCGGAAGGTACGGCAAGCTTTGAGATCCCAATTTGTAAAAATAAATAAAAATAAAATAAATTCCGTTAAGTGGCTGGAACAAAACGTCCCTGCCCGCAGCCCGCCCACCATCCCACTAAAAAGGCTTCAGTCTTGCAGTAAACTCAGTCCCTTTGTTGCCTAAAGTGATGAGCATCGTGCAAACTGCGAAGGGGTGTGTGTGCCTTTTTTTTTTTTTTTTTTAAAAAAAAAAAAAGCAATAAAAAATTCTCATCTGCCTTAACACCCTCATCACCAACACCGGCCTGGTCTCGGTTGGCGGCTTCCTCAATGGAAAACTCGCCCCCTCTTTCATCCTACCTGTCTCCAAAGCGGCGCGCTCGGGCCACCGGCTGCCTGCCGCCGGGCGGGCTCTCCCCCGCAGCTCGGCGCCGTTCCCTCTCGCCCACACCCGCGTTCAAGTAACGGATCCCGAAGGCAGAGCAACTTGAGCCGAGCAAACGGTGCGGGGATGCCCCGCTTTTTGCGCCCTTTTCTCTGGTGTGTGTGTGTGTGTGTGTGCGTGAGGGTGTCTCCTGATGACAAGCAAGCACGCCACGGAGGGGGGGGGGAGAAATCCTTGCAAGGTTCGAAGAAAGCACACGATCGCCCCCTTCCATGTTTTGCGAGATCCCTACACGACACGTATCTTCCCTGTTCAGCTTCCGAAAGCGGCCTTCCCTTCACCCGGCTTTTCCCAAACGCGTTACAGGGCAAGTATTCCTCACCCCCAGCCAACAACACCATCCCATCCTAGATAATCCAAAGCACCTGAGCCTTCATCCAAGTTACTCACCTTCCGCTCCGCCTTCCACGGAGAACAAAGTGACGGGAAGCAGCCACCCATTATATTCCACAAACACGGGATGCCAAAGGCGCCTCCAAGCTTATTTATGTATGGCAAAACGCCAGAACTCAGGCAAGAGGGGGCGAGAGAAGGAAAGCATCACTGCGAAGCTTTATATCCAGATCTGAGAAGGACAGGCAGGCATCCACCAGTGATTTTCCTTGGTCGGACCGGTAAGAAAGAGAGGCGTCTTCCTTCCACCAAGAGGTCGCTGCTTCCCCCACTCCCCTCCGCCAAGAGGCAGATGTATACCGTGTGTGTGTGTGCGTGTGTGTGTGTATAAAAATCTCCAAGGCAGCATCATTTCTAGGCGGAAAGAGCTCTCCAATGGTAGATCCATTTGGCCGAGAGGAAGAAAAGAAGACGGTGGGAAGGGCTAAACTAATCTCGTTAGATCCCTTCCACTCCAAACTTTCGGTTCTCGGAACTGGGCAGAACAGATCAAGATTTACAGGAACAAAGGTGATTTCAGCTGAACTCCCAACGACTTCTTCTGAACCGGGATCCATCACAACCTCTCTGCCAGTCCTGAAGAAAGCCCGAAGAAAGAAAGCTTCATCGATCCCTCCGGAAGCTTGGAGGCAAAGCTGCCCGCTGACTTGATCCTCAGACAAACTCTTCTCAGCAAAGCATCCACCGATCCCGGCAAGGATCTCAGGACAGCCCTAATCAAAGGACGCTTGGTTTTGCCGTAGCGCCCGACTCCCCCCTCCCTAAGCCCACGACGAGGAAATGATTCGAGCGCAGTCGCTCTCCAAGCAGGTACATCGCTCGCCCGCCAACTTACCTCCGATTGCTTCAGCTCGAGCCATTCCTGCCTTTATATACCCTCAGGCTCCTTTGACTTCGGCAAGCCACGCCGGAAAGCATCACGGGAATCGTAGTTTACGGCGCCTCCCGCAAGCTGGCCAATCGGCGCTCTGCCGATTTCCTAGGTAATCGATGATGCTCGCTTGACATGACATGGCGGGGCGTCCGATTTTTCACCGTCGCTGTTCCTCCCCGCAGGGGTCGGGTTTTGCGGCAAGCCTTTTAACAACCACGACGAAGAAAATCCGCGTGTGGCTCGCTGGCTTCGGATTAGTCGTGGCCTGTATTTCTTCCCTTGCGGCCCCAAAACAATGCCCAGTAGATGGTTAAGCGAATAAAGGCAAATGAAATGGAACCGCTTTTCCACTAAAGTAGAAGATGCATTAAAGGGGGCCCGCAACTAGCAGAATTGGGTTTCTGGACTGGAGGCTGTATTCTATGGTTCAAATGGCCTTGGTGGTCTATAATTCTGCGATGCCAGTCTCCGGCTGGGATTGCACAATGCGCAATACAAAAATGTACTAACTAGGCTGTTTGGTGGCTCAGATAGTTGTGAAGACCCCAAAACAGTTAATTTGGTAAACGATGGTTGACTGCAATAAGTGAGTTGCTCTAAGTGATTTCACTTCTTACTAAACAAGCTGTGAGATTTGCTTTACTTTGTCAGAGCCATGGAACTCTGTTCTAAATATATTTTTAGTTGGAAAATTCTCTAGCAGAACCGCTAGAGATACCATATATTTATAGCGAGATATCTAGGTAATCCTCTACTTTTCAACCCAAAATTTCCATTGCTAAGCAAGGCTTTTGTTAGTCCCCATTTTATGACCTTTTTGCTATGGTTGCTAAGTGATTCACTACAGTTATTAAGTGAATCATGCAGTTTTTAAGCTTCCCCATTGATTTTTCTCCCTAGGAAGATTGCAAATGCAATCCCAGGACCATGTTGCAATCATGATAAATACATGACAGTTGTCAAGTATCTATAGTTTAATCTCCATATGACTGTGGAGATACTGCAACAGTAATAAGAATGACTGCTGGATAGCAATCATACACTGACACATGAAATCATACAGTTCAAAAGTAATTTAAAGGCTATTACAGTAGTCCAATCCACTGCTGAATGCAGGTTTCTTCAGAGGATTTCTGACAAATGACCATTCAGTGCTTATTTTACAGTACAGTAAGCCATACTGAACATGACATTTTCAGTTTCACACTTCTTTTCTAATTTTCAGTGAAAATATAGATATTATAAAAAAATAATAAAAACCATGCACTAGATTGCTCAGGCTAATTTTTGTACAGCATTAAATGAACAAATCTCTCTACTAACACCATGCTCCACAATCCAATAGTATATGTGTAACTTGACAAAAACTTCAAATGGAACTGATAGGTCTCTTTACTTCAGGCTAACATCTATTCTTTAATTTATTTCTGAATTTAGGATTCCATAGTTAAATATTTATTATACCTATGTTAACTTTGACATAAATTATATTATTTTCAAACATTATTATAACAAAAACAAAAGACTAGCTTCATGTACTACCAAAGATCTTTTTTTAAAAAAAATAAGGGAAATAGATACTAAACCAGTTTCTTGTAACATCAACTTTGCATTTTGTGTCCTTTTCTTTTAGGGATCATTTTATACCTAAAGGAGTATATTACTCAAATGAGGCATATAATGGATGGTAATAACAGTTCAAAGCCTACATGCAAAAACAAAACAAAACAGTGAGACCAATTAATACGGAAGATAAAATGGCATTGGTGTTCAAAGTGCCAAATAGTTTAATATTTATAAGCCTGCTGTAAAGTATTTCTTAATACTTCCATGAAAATTCTTTTCATTCACCTGCTATGTCTTCCAATAACCTTACTAACTTCTGAAAGCAGAAGATGGACATTGAACCAGATGCTGACATACTTCTGTTAATTACTATTCTCTGTAAAACTCATCTTAGGATGTTTGTATATTTAGTGCTGTGATTATAAAAAAAGTTTGTACATCTACTTTGTCCAAATAAATTTTCAAATGGTTCAGTGTTCAATGAATACTGAATTGGGAAAATGTAGCTGCTGCCAGAATCTTTGCTCTCCCAAGACTATAGGATTTTTTTGCTGTTGTTGAAAAGGGGTAAGTGAAAAATGTGCAGGCTCCTTTCTGTGATCTCAGCTTTCCACCCTCACTTCAAGATTCAAGGCAAAGCCAATTTCTGAAGAACAAATTGATCCAGGTCCACAGAAATTTGAAGAAGCTCCATTTCAAAAATTGGATTGTACAAAATATCCAAATTTTCCCATCAAATATTACCCAGAAAACCCCATACTTAAAACATAGTGCAATTCCAATTGAATGTGAAGTTGAAATATCAGAGCAATAGAGATGAAGCATCTATCCAAAACATCAATTGCAGTAAATAATATTTTGTTTATAAGCAGATGGAATTCAGAATCCCAGTTCCACATTTTAAACTCGGGTGTGTCTGGCAGACCTCAAATCATTGACAGAGTAAAAGATTAAAAACCTGGACCTGCAGAAAGCGGACTTCTATCCTTGCTCCACCATTTCAGCTCCACTTCAACAGACTTTTGTATACTTGGCTTTAAAGAGTTCAAGTGAGCACAGACCTAAATATGTTCACTCTGGGCCTAAAAGATGAGGCAGGAAGTCAAGTTTCAGGACACTGAAACTGGGGAGTGATCAATATACTTTAGACCAGGGCTGTCAAACTCCCGGCCCATAGGCCGGATGCGTCACATGCTGGTCACGTCCATGTTCGGTTTAGCGAAGTGGGGGGAGTCCAGATATGTCACCTGATGCCACAGTGACGACATGAGTTTGACACCCCTCCCTTAGGCCCTCTTCAGTTCCTTGGCCATCTTCTTCCCATGTAACTTCTTCTTTTAATGTGCTAAAGGGAAAGGACAGCATTTTAATAGAATTTGAGAATTTCTGCATGGTAGATATAGCAATTCTTCAATGATGTAGAGTACATGGCCAGGACCATTTTCTGGAGGCAGGGCTGTGGGAATTTCTTATGTTAAGTTTATTTCTGGATCTAGAGTAGAGTTCGTATGTAATTCTTTCGGGTGTTTCATTATTCAAACTAGATAAACAGTGCCAGTAAGGAGTAAGATTTGCTCTCATTTTATATTCTAGTAGCTTCCTCTGTTGGTGTTGGTGGTTTTTTGGTTGGGCTGTTTACTGTTAGCTTGGTGGTTTCCTGATTGGGATATTGTTTGCTTCTTGTTGGTCTAGGCTCTTGGCATTTATCTTGGCATTTATCGCTGCTCAAATGAGTGTTGATTGCTGGTGGGGAGATGTTTTAGTCTTTTTATTCCATTTTGGCTTGTTGATAGTTTCTTTTGTACAGTATGTAGATATTGCTTATGTCTATGTGCCTATTGATGGCTGATTTGTTGAGTGCCACCTTCCAGGAATTCTCTAGAGCTTTTTAGACTTGGCTTGGTCTAGGATGGTCACAGTTTCCCAATTGAAACTATAGTTAAGTCTGTCCCTGTGTTGTGAAATTAAGCAGTTTTTATCATGTCTTCTGACTACTAGTTGGTGTTCATAGATGTATTCTGCTACATAGATGTATTCTGTTTATCCTACATGTATCCTACATGTTGCAATCTATACACTGTATGAATTCAAGCCTTTTGCAGGCTAGGCTATTCAAATAGCCTAATACAGGCTAGGCTATTCAAATTTATAGAATTTCACACTGCCAATCCAGGTACCCCCACTAGGGATATTGCCAATGAGACATATTCTGCTTTGGTGAGAAGGGAGACTTTGGAGTCACAGTCTGAGTCTAGGGTTTGGAAGGCTCTCCTGTGCCATCTCTGTAAGGATGGCATAAGCAAGGTTAACCTTCCCAAGGTGCAAGGACCATTGGTGTCATTTGCAGGAAGGTATGAGTAGGCTTTTAAGCCACAAAGGAAAAACCACCCTGGTGGGAGCTTCAGGTAACTGTATGAGAATGATATGGTTCTGTGTAGTTGCATTTTAGTTCTGTGTTGCTAAGGCTGGTGCATTCTGTGACCCTAGGTGTGCTGCACCCAGTGACATTAAAGCATCTCTCAGAGGTGGTTACTGCAGCAATGTGTAGGGTGTACATGGTGTGGTCTTTGGTTTTTGTAGAGTGGCTCCAGCTAAAAATGCTTTCGTAGGAGTCAGGAAGGTTTTTAAATGTGGTGTAGTTAATGATGTTATGTGGTCTAGTTGCCACTCCCATTAGGCATGTGGTTAAGATGTCCTTGACTGATTTCCCTCCTACTAAGCAAAAGTTAGTGGTGTTGAGTATTTCCCTTGCTAAATATTCCCATACGTTTCCTTTCTCTGGGATAAGCTTTGGTTCCAGGAACGCAGTTGCTTGTGTTACAAGTGTTACAATTGTTACAGATAATAATACATAGTATATATTGCATTTCATGTTTCCCATTGCTAGATTCCTTCCCCCCCCTTTTTTTGTACAATGTAAAAAAAAAGGTAACAATAAAATGTAAAAAAATGATATAGGTCAAGTCTCAAAAATTACTAAAAGTCTGAAGTCTCTTGTTAAAAAAATACAAAGAAAAAAGGTGAAAAAAAAAAGAAAAAAATGGAGAAGGTGAGAGAAAAATAAAAATAAAAATAGAGTTTTATAACTCAGCACCTGGGAGTCCAGTTTTGTGTAATTCAACCTTTGCACTTGGTTCCTCACAGTTATGTGGTTCAATGGTGTTGAAGAATGCTGCAAGCATCCATTGATCTGTGTCCACATTTTTCTTGAGTTTGATGGGTGGGATTGATTGTGGTGAAGTTTGGCTATGGTCTATGACTGTTGGCTTTGCATGTGTCCAATATATCCAAGAGTCTCGTTCTGCAACCTTAATGGCAGTGTGTGTAGTTAGTAAGACTTGGTAGGGTCCTTTCCACCTGGGTTGTAAAGGTGAGGTTCTGGTA